CGATCACTGTTCAATCGCTTTGGCAGTCCAGGTATTGCAATATTCAGTGACTTTTCTTTTTGACGCAAGCAATCGCAAGAGATCGCTACCTATCCGTGATATGTGTTTTATTTGTTTTGTGTTCATGTGGACCGTAATATACAACGCGTTACCAAGGTTGAAAGCACCAAATTAATATTCATGATTATCCCCGCAACCACGGGACTACGTGCAGTCCCGCAGCTTTCCACACATTTCGAATGAACGGGCTCCCCCCGATCCGATATCTTCTTCCCTCATACGGGCTCTAATTCTGGCAAATTTACGTTGTGTGCGGTCTGCTGACTGCCTGAAAAGGAACTCTGAAACATTTCGGAAGGGAAGAGAACCGAAAAAAATCCAGTCATCGCCGCAGAGAGTGCACACGAGAAAGAGATGAATCGATAACGTTAAGCCTTTCGTCCCACACTGCCGCCGCTACTCTTGTATGTGCTTTTTTTGATACTTTTCTTCCCGTCGTTTTTCTGTCATCACCGCACTCATGGCTAGTTTTTTTTGTGTGTTCGTTTGATACTACGCCATTTACGTGGATTCGCGGAGCAAGTCCTGCTATGGTTTCAGTGACATGTGTGGCAACTAGCCAACAATGACAATGGTCGATTATCGATAGACCTCTCTCTCGGCAGAGATAGACTTCTTGAAGTTCATGCTCAAATGGTTCCGTGACGGATATTGCGGAACGTATGGACACGATCGACAGGTGAGAATCAACTTATTTGCCGTCTTTCTTGGTCATGTAGGACGCAAGTAAAGTGCTGCAGTCGATTTTGTTTTTTGCTTCTTTAAGTCTCGTGATAGAATGGAATCCCGTTCTTCGTCGCTATCCGTGTGCAGTTGCGTCGACACTTGTAGATATGCATGGTAATATTCTAGTTTTCACAGGAAGGTGAATAACAAGTTTGTGTTATTATTGAAAGTGCGTTGTTTGTGCTTAAATGTTTGTTTATACTGTGTTATTTTATTGCCTTTACCGCGTTTATACAAAATTCTTAAGTATATTAAGGTAATAGTATTATTGTACACAAAATCAGTAATATTTTGTTCTAAGGCATCTCGAGCTCGTTGGGAGAAGTAAATTAGTTGACCGTAAATCGTAAGTTTATTACCCCTCCTACACGGAAAAGTTAATATATTTTCATAAAAAGATACGGGATTGAATCAGCTTGCAGTCTTGAGTGATGACTGTGGACCCCATATATTCATTCAATCGAAATTACATTAATTTTGCCATGCGGACAGGGTATAATGCAAGAATTCAGTGGCTGCACACGATAACATCGATTAGATGATCGTAAGTGACATATGTCTAGCCGTGTCCACGTTGACTACGTCTACTTGATTCTTAACTGTGATCTGTTTTGCTGCGTCCAATCACTTTGTGTCTCGCCATTTTGTCGAACTATTTCTGTATGAAATATGCGTTCTACAGCAATAATTGCGTGGCTCAATGTTCTCGACTTAATCAAATTTTTCGGTAAACATCTTATACGCCAAGCTCGTGCCAATTAGTACCGATTATTTAGCGGTGTAATATTTTTTGTCCGTGTAATAAAATGTTTTCTGGAGCCGTTGCTATGTGCAGCTCTCATTTTTACAAACAAAACACGCGTATGTGACTAAAAGCGCGTTACGACGGTCGATACACGCGCGTTGCCCTCGCTTCGACGCGCGCCCCTAACGGCTTTTCATGGCGACGTCACGAGAAGAGCGCTACGGCCTTCTCTTCTAGGATGTGTTGGGACTTCCCGTCCGCCGTGCTGCGCGAAGCGAGCCACGAGTGCAGACCTGGCGTCTCGCCAAGAATTAACTGTTTTCCAGCAACGTGCGCCCCCTACAGAGTTGTCTTCGAACTACAAATAAAGGGCAGCCTCTGCTTCCTCTCGCGTCAGACGGGGGGGGGGGGGGGGGGGGGGGGGGGGGGTATCGGTGGCCGAGTGGGCTAGCGCACAACCAGCTCGGAACACGTAAAGCGAAAGCTCGCGCTGCAGAGCCCCAGAATGCTGAGTTTAATTCCCACCCCTGCTCGTTTAGATTTGGATGAGCATTGTACCGGCGTTCGGTCGTGTATCACTACAGCGTGATGCACGTTAAAGACCCCAGGCTAGTGGTTGTACTGCACTGGCTAAATTTCTCATCTACCGCTGGTAGACTCGTCGCCCGTTGAGGCAGACCAAGTTCTAGGCTGTGTAAAAATACACACAACCCAATCTTCCGTCAGAAAACATTGGCATAATGCTGTTGCATTGATCTTCGCTGCCTGTTATGCCCCAGAGTAGCGATTACCCAAGCAAGAATCGCCAAAAATATATACTCGCAAAGATAGGTTCTGAATATGTTCGCCAACCCAAACTTTGCCCTGCGAAAATGGCAACAGCGGGAAGCAGGGTCAAGGAAGGAGATGTATGCATGCGTAGAAGATTACTGGGAAATGGTGGATTGCGCGACGAAGGGAGAATCATCATGTCGTCTGCTTGAAAGACTTGGTTTCAAACTTTACTCGCGTTATGCGAAATCCCACTTTGGCAGCCTCCAGTTGCTACGCGTCATGTTGGAAGGTTTTGGAAGCTTCCACCGCGCTTATCCGCTTACTTCACGAATCACTGGTGTCAGTCGTCAGTGGCACTCATAACAGCAACCACGACGGCTATGAGAATTCACCACATCGCACCTCCTTCCTCAGGTACGTGACGGCTCCTTACCTTGGTACAGCTATCGCTTTCGTTTTTTCACGCAGTGTGGGCTAAAAATACGAATTTTTACACACAATATTGAACTCGTCGTTCGGCGCCTAGTTATTTTCTCGCCGGAACGGTGGGACAATCCCCAACTCCCGACAGAAAGGCGTAATACGGGGATTAGCAAGCGTTCATGGGGCGGCGCACGTGACCTCAATACGCGATGACATCTGCTCTTTTCAGTGTAGAAAACCTGATTTGTGCGAATACACCCTAGTTTGTCGTTGGATGTTTCGGCAGCGGAACGTTAAACTACCTCAAGAAGCACCTGGTGTCTACGATGTGGCCGAGAAATTAATCACGCCGGTACGATACTCTTCCAGGTCTAAACAGGCGGCGGTGTGGTTTCAGTCGACGATTCTTGGGTTCTGTGGCGCAGTTTTCCCTTCCGCGTTATTTCCCTTACCTGTTTAGGTTTGAAGCCAAGTGTGCTAATTAACATGCACTTGCCTCGTTCAGCAGTTGGAAGCGCCATGGCCGGCCTAGAGTGAACATGTGCGACCTCTTACGGCCTTTGCACGGGAACTGGTTGCTCCCTGCGGCCGCATGCAGTGAGTCTGCGGCCTCATTTTGAGAAATGTATGTATAGACCGACACGCGGGCTTGACGTCACGGCGCTACGGCGGCGCTGCGATCGCGTCGGAGCCGAGGGGTGTGGGCAAAAGGGCGCACGTTTCGCATGGGCGTCATAGTATTTCGGCATGCCGCGAAGCTGTGTTGCCGTTAATCTCACCGAAATGTACAAGAAAAGTAGCGGAGTGAGCTTCTACAAGTACCCGGCAGACTCTGAAAGGCATAGAAGGTGGATAATATCCGTGGATCGAAACTTATGGTCGCCTCGCGCGTTTGTGCGGCTTCCATTTCAGTCTCCGTCCCGAGGCTTGCTTATGTACAGGGAAACCGTCCTCTGATCGAGACCACCCGGATTTTGTTCCCACGGTGTTCGCGCACAAAGCACCGGCCAAGCGCTCGTCGGAGGCTCGCTACGCCCGTGCTACCCAGCAGAAGTGGATCGGCGACAGAACGGCAGTGTTGTAGGCGCTACCAAAAAAAAAGTAACGAAATACGTTACTCGTTACTTGCAAATCAAAGGTACGCGTTACTGAGCTACGTTGCCTAAAAATAAAAGGAACGCGTTACCGCTACCGATAAAAAGTAACGCACGTTACTTCTGCGTTCCTTTTTAAATTATGATTTAACACGTTTTACGCTTTTGGCGATACAGGTATGCATAAGCTCATATATAAAAAAAACATTATGTTCACGCAGAAACAGAACATAATTACTTTATCTCTTTTTACAATTTTACCCAAAATACTGACGAGAAAAAAACGCAAAGAAAAACATGGCTTGACGCCTAAAAACACGGAAAAGCTTGAAATGTAATTGTAGGAACGAGTAACGTAGCTACGTTACTTAAAATAGTAACGCAAGTTCGTTACCCGTCACTATGTCGAAAAAGTAACGAGTAGGTTACTACGTTACCGAAAAAAGTAACGCGTTCCTAGTAACGTCGTTACTTGTAACATGTTACCGCCAAGACTGCAGAACGGACAAAGCGTTACTGCTTGTCATGCCTTGTGGTCATGAGAGTAGGAAAAATAGCATACCTTGACTTGAAGACGCTGTGGGTCTGCTGATCCCGCCGGTAGTGCGGAAACCGACTCGAAGTAATCATAGGCCTCGAGAGACTTGTGCGCCTGCTCCGTGTCGGCCGTGAACTGGCGCGAAAAAACTAAATAAACGACGACAGGAGCCGTCGACTTCGGTGGCAGCAACTTCACGTCGGAAGTCTAGCAGGCCTTGTTACGGATCCTCGTAGGCAACGCCGTCCACGCAGTTTGTTTCGATACCGCCGCCGTTCAGGCTCGGATAGCGAGCTGAAATAGTCGGGCATAGCATACGACAGACGTTGTCAGGAAATACGACTCACAAATAAAGCTAGAAGCTTCCCTACAACGTCAACAACGAGCGCACGCCACACAACGCAATGGCGAAAACACGGAGAGCCGGGCTGCTTTTGCCCACATAGCTACCGCGCATGCGCGGCCTTCCGGCCGTGTTGGTAAACAGAGCCGCTCCGCGTATCGGTCTATAGATAGGAGCACGCATAAAATGAAGAATATTAAGGTGCCCGGGCGAAAGCAGACAATGGTTCTTGTGATAAAGTTTATCGACACATCTAGTAAGAATATGTGAAACCATCTACTAAAAAACGATAATGACCTTGTGTCTCATGCTCCATTCTGGCTCTCAAATTTAAGCATGCGTAATAGACCTGTTGCGAAAACGTACAGCGCCACGACGTCAGGGAGTTTTGGGAACCCTCGGTACAGATCAGGCGATTTTTCTTTGCGCCTCCTTGACGGCGAGTGAAACGCCGCAGCTACCGCCAGCCATTCGCTATCGTGACCATCCGCCGGAACGTCCTAAAGTCCTTGACGGCGACCGTATCTGTGGCAGGGTAAACACATCTCGACGGTTGAAGCTATTACTGCTCATTCACACTAGAAGTGGATCCGCGTTCGCAAAGCGGTTGCGAACGCGGTTGTATAAAGACCCAGTACAATTGCAAGCGCACTCGATGGCATCGAGTGCGCGTGCAATTGCACTGGATCTTTATACAACCGCGTTCAAAACCCCTTTGCGAACGCGGATCCGCTTCCAGTGTGAATCAGCGGTTACCCCCCATTCACACTGGAAGCGGATCCGCGTTCGCGAAGCGGTTGCGAAAGCGGTTGTATAAAGATCCAGTGCAATTGCACGCGCATTTGATGTCATCGTGTGCGCGTGCAATTGTACTGAATCCTTATACAACCGCGTTCTCAACCGCTTTGCGAACGCGGATTCGCTTCCAGTGTGAATGAGCCCTTAGAGAGCTTTAAGGAACCGCTTTCGCACCTGCGATACGGTATACGATGGGCCTCCAGTACCAACTGCGCAAGCGCTACCACAAAAGACTCCCGCATGTGCATTCGCACCGGAGGGCCCATCATATACCGTATAGGATGTGCGAGAACCGGGTCCCTAAGATTCTCTGCTCACTTATTTCAACATGTTATTGGGGGGATCGGTGGCCGAGTGGTCTAGCGCACACCAGCTCGGAGCACGTGGAGCGAAAGCTCGCGCTGCAGAACCCAGGGATCCTGGGTTCGAGCCCCACCCCTGCCCGTTTCGATCTGGATGAGCATCGTACCGGCGTGCGGTCGTGTATCACTACTGCGTGATGCACGTTAAAGACCCCAGGCTAGCGGCTGTACCGCACTGGCTAAATTTCTCATCTACAGCTGGGAGACTCGTCGCCCCTGTGAGGCAGACCAAGTTCTTGGCTGTATAAACACACACACAACCCAATTTTTTTTCAACATGTTATTCGTCGTAACTTGCCTTCACGTCTTGCAGTGTCGCCGAATTCACTTGTTTTCCACCGCAGCCGTGGCACGGTTTGACTAGGTTCGACAAAGCGTCGGAGCAGCAGACGACGGAGACGGTACAAAGAAGGGCAATGAGTAATGGGCAGGCTCGCAAGATAGCTAACGCGATGTCGTCTTCCCCATTTCCGTGCGCTCGTCGCTCGGCCGACTCCGCTCTCGGCTGCTCGAAAGTTGTAGCCTTGGTAAGTTGCGCCTGGTCGCGTATGTCACGTGGTAACGGGAGGAATGACGATGGGAGGAGAGTATCGAGGACTCCTATGATTCGTCGGGCAGCTCCCGCGGGCTTTTGGGATTATTGCAAAGGGTTTGTTGACACTCAACACCACTGTCTCTTCTATGCGGAGTGTATGTTCGTCTGCGTCTTGCACAGGGGTTGCGACCTCAAGACATCTAGCATTGAGGTCCACCCACAATCCCTTCAATCAAAACCAAACAAAGCTCGGCATGCTTTTGACGCCCCCGCAAATCCAGCAAAAGAAGCAGACGACCTTTTCTTCGCATAGAGTTGCGACAGGATCTTTGTTACCACGACCTGGTACAAAAAGTAGACCGCAGAGAAGCGTTCAGAAATTAGTCTGTAGGACCACTCGTGGGACGAAGCAAAGTTATAGAGCAATACACTTTGGGTGCTTTACCTTATTTCGCTTTAAGTGAGAGCGTGGCAGAAAATATAACAAAGGGCTTCAGGCTTTCAGCATCCCGGCCAAGCAAGTGCGCTTCTGCAGTGCGATCATCGTTCAGGGTAGCATGCTCAGGCTTATAGCCTGAGCTTCGCTCTCAAATATATTGAGGTAAAATGATCGTGATGTTTGGCTTTCATAGGAAAAACAATATTTATGAATTTGTTTGACCAGGTAAGGTAAGCAATAACTAGCTTGGCACGTGTTTTGCCGTGGTAGAATATAAAAAAGTTAGTGCACAAAACACTTGTAAAGAAGGCAACTTCCGAAATTGACTAACAAAATTATTTAATGAAATATATTCGCCGGTGTGGGCTGGAGACAGCAGAGAAAGTATAAACTAATTAGGTCTTCTGAGTAGATAGCGAATTTTTGTATATTTAAGTGTAACCCAAACACCATCAGGTGTGTGTGTATTATGCATACTGTATTTATTCCTGGTTACTTCTGTAAAAAACGTCCTAAAATTTAATATTTCCCCGGTTGTTATTTTCTTCTTCGGTTATGGGCTTGGTTCCATGACGTTCCCATGGATTATTATTCGCCCCTCAATTGGTGTCTTGATTGGTGACATCTTTTCGATGTATTTTACTAAAACGTCGAAATCAACAGGACCTGAAAAAAAAAAAACTTATTTGGGTTGTGAAAGGGCACAAAAAAACTGCTGCTCTACAATTCTGTATGTTACAATGTTCATTAAATACCAAGTTTAGCGGATTATAACTTTTCTGTTTGCGTTAAATCATTATACTTTTCTGGAGACTGTTGATTGCACAGAAATATACATGGTGTTTTTCTTAAGCTTTAAAGATTTTTTTTAAAAAAAGCCGTAAAAGTTACACTTATGCGGTTTGTGCCGGTGAGGTGTACGGCCAGGGGGACATTATGTGGGTGGATAATGTTTGCGATAGGTGAACTAATGAATTAAAATTCGTTAATTAACTTTTTAATGAGAGAAAATAGACATATGGTTCCAATTAGAAACTTACAGAGCGTCATCAAAAACCACTAAAATAACTTGTTTTAGAACGACTTGAAGCCCGTGGGAAATTCGGGGGCGCACCAAAGTTACCACTCGTGAAGCAGGTGTGAAGCTGGCAGTGCTGAAATGCGGATGATGAAATTATCATCCGCATTCCACCACTGCCAGCTTTGTGCCTGCTTCACGAGTGGTAACTTCGGTGCGCCAACGAGTTTCCCACGAGCTTCAAGACGTTCTAAAAAGAGGTCATTTAGCGGTTTTCGATGCCCCTCTGTAAAGTTATAATTGTAACCATATGTCTATTTCCAGTAATCATAAAGTTAATTAACGAATTTTAATTGATTAGCCGACTCATCGAAAACATTATCCACTCGTATATTGTCCCCCCGGCCGTATAACTCACCTGCACAAACCGCTTAAGTGTAAGTTTCACGGATTTGTTTAAACGAATCTGTAAAACTTAAAAAAAAAAGCACTGTAAAAAACAACACACCTGAACACCACCGTCAAATTATTCACTAACTGTATTTAGAGAGCACTTGAATATTTCGTTCTAAAGAAGTGCTTTAATTATTCCGCCAACCACACTGGTTTGACATGAGCTAAGTTCTGTACTTAAAAAAACGCATTATCATGGAGAATACAAGGTTACAAGAACGCAGACTTTGGAAAATACGTGTTTATAATCACGGGCATTAGCTAAATTGCGGATCACACAGGTCAAAAAATCTTAACGCGAGGCGGTTGAACGTAGCCTCAACAGCGACCCAAAGTATTTCCGGCCGTATGTCAATGATCGCATGCCCAGATCTTCGTCTTGCATTAACATACATCTCGCCTCTGGTAGGGTGCTGGGTGAACCTGCACGTGTCTCAAAGGCGTTTGCGGGTTATCTTGAACCAGTGTCCTCCTTAAACTAAGCTGTAGTTGCTATCTTATATCTTTCACTCTATATTTTCAAAAAGCCGAAATTAAACTTGCAATAAGAAACTCAAAGCCCAAGCAATCAAACGCATTTGATAACATTACAAGTTTTGTTATAAAAGGCTTCTCAATTTTCTAGCCCAATACTGACTCACACTTTTAACTCGTCTCTGGCAAGTATGACCGATCCTCAAATTTGGAAAAATGCTGTCATCGTGCCTATTCACAAAGGTGGCAGGACTGGTAATGTAAGCAATTCTAGGTCGGTTTCCTTGCTCTGTGCATTTGCAAAAAGTATATAAAATGGTCTTGTTTGACAATTCGTGGCAGTTTTTCAAAACGAAAAAGTTGAATTTTAAAGGATTCACTTACTGTTAAATCTGTATGCTTTTTAAACTTCGTGCCACCGATTGTCAATGAGCGCGGAAAAACGATGCCGTATATTTTTATCTTTCGAAGGCTTTTGATTTGCTGAATCATTCAATTTTAGCACAGAAGTTTTTTTTTAATATGAAGTCGATAAGAAGGGTCGCTCATAAGAGAGAAAAAGAGACAGAGATACCGCTGGTGTCTGTCTCTTTTTTATATATTTATTTGCCTAAGTTAAGCTGGCCCTATTATAGTATTATGCACCAACAAGCTCAACTACAGTGCGTTGCACATTACTTATGAGTTATCAAACAGAGAGAAAAAAATTGTTCGAATATGGAGACAATATTCTATAGTCTATACCCTGTCGATCATACTCGCGTATGCCGCAGGAGCGCATGCTGGGGTCAATTTGATCACTATTTTAATAAATAATCTGAGTTTTTCTACACGCCATCTTGCAATATGGCGATGAGACCAAGTTTTTTTTAGCAGTTTTCGTTTAGCCATAATTGTATACCGCTAACGAATTGTGTTAAAGTGGTGCATCATTGGTGCGAACTAAATATGTAGCACTAAATTCTAATAAAACTGCAGTTCGCGTTTTCTAAGAAAGGGAAAATTCGAAATTTGTGTTACACCCTTGGCATTATAACTCTGCGTAGGATGGAGTGAGCGAGAGATCTAGGAGTATATATTAGCTCAACTTTGTCTTCTCATGAACATTTTCCTAACATTATGAATGTTGTGTTTATGGTGGTAGGCATTAATTTATCACTAGAATTTCGGGATACTTCTCGTCAACTTGTATATTCATTTTATATCGTTTACTGATAGGTGCCAAACTTTAGTTGAATTCGGTCATTTGAAATTTTATTGATTCTACCAACCAAGCAATGATCGAATACGTGAAAGTAGGGTTTTTCTTATGAATTACGATTGCTACATTAGTCACGCTGTTTATTTGGGGCATGTGAGGCGCTCGCGACAATAGGGTTGTCTGGCACTAAGCACCTAAAAAATAAAGTGCGCTCTTATTTTTTAACATAAATGCTTGCGCGGTTTATTTGACTGTCAAAACCTCACGTCAGCGATTGACTGCATGTGTGGAGGGTAATGCTAAGTGTTACGCCCACTTTCTTCGTTAGAAAGAACAACCAAACCAGTCACATAAACCAGACACAAGATTTTATAGCCCTCCAGGTACGACCAATTCATAGATATCTTCAACTCCAACATTAAAATGTTCAAGCGTTTTTTACTAATATCTATCGAATATTATGTGTCCTAAACGTGATTGCTGTAAACTTTTTTTTTAAATATGCCGCGTATTTTGTGTGCTACTTTTGTATCTATTTCTTGCTCATTAGATAGTGTTATTGCTCAAGTCCTTGTTAGATACATTATGGCCACTTTTGTTAACCATAAAAATTGTAGATAGATATCGCTAACAAGCACAATATGTTTGCGCATCTCTATTCAGGCAGTACCTGTTCATGAGCACCGAAAACAAGTAGGTGAATGAATGACGCACATAATTCCCACAGAGATGCCGGCAAGTCGCCACGGTCATCTGGGAAGGGGGGTAAGTAATGACCTCTGACCAGGCACGTAGCCAGGGGGGGGGGGGCCATGGAGCCCGCCCCCCCCCCCCCCTTCCGAAATCTTCCGTTTTGCTGGGACCTACTCTCCCCCCTCCCCCTCATGAAGCATTTTGTCATGGGCGCCCCCCCCCCCCCCCCCCCCCCAAACAAAATCCTGGCTACGTGCCTGCCTCTGACATTAATTGCACGGGCTGTGTTATGCTTCGCAGTCGCACCTCGCGTTGGATTAAAAATCGAAGCTACGCGCCTCTATATCTAATCATGATTTATTGAGAAACCACGTGGTATATTGTTCCCGCATGATTATCACTCAGCACTCCTCAGAGCACTGATACAGGCGTCCGAACACGTGGTTCCTAACTCGCCCGCGACCGTAACTGGCAGCCCGCTGCTTTGACTTTGTCAATCGCATGTTGGGACGGCGTATAACTCCCTAATAAGGAACAACGCAGAATGGCCATAGGTAGCTAATTAAATATATTGTTGAGAGTACTGGAAATTGAACTTATGAAAATAATTTTTTTAATATTCGGCCAATATTCGTTATTTCAAAAAATGCAGTCGAGGTATTTTAATATCAAAAAAGTGTAGCTATTTGTTTACCTGATTCTCCGTATTGTTCTGCCTTAGCAAATCCATCGCCGCCTTTGGCTACGAAGTCTATGGTAACAATTGTATACATTTCCTCAGGGACTACGTCTTTATAGACAGGTACTTGACATTTTTTGCACAGTGTTTTTAGTGATATGACTCGGCACAATGATGGCAGCGATAAGTTGTACACCACGCGCATGCCTGCAAAAATGAAAGGTTTAATTTGTAATCATTTATAGCGCACACTTTTCACATACGAAAGCAAAACATTATAATTTAAAAAATAAACTATCTTGGTGATTGACATAGTAGTTTTGAGCAATGTTTCGTGCTTTAGGGGTTTTAGGGGTCACGCTGTAAAGGCTGTATTGATGGCAACTACTATTTTTGGCCAAACAAATTAAATAATAAATTGCAATATAAACTTTTTACGTATGATTATTAATATATTTCCCCTTTTTATCTAGGTATAAAAATTGTGCGTAGAAAGCGCACCGTAAGCCCCGCCCACAGTGACGCTAAGAAGTCGGATGCAGTCGTTTCAATCATGTCGTAACTATCTCGGCAGCTTGTCCTACTAAGTACTGAGGCGACGCAAGTGACAATGTGACTGAAACGACTAGGTCACTCTTCTAAGCGTCATTGTGGGCGGGGCTTGCGGCACCTTTCTCTTTTCTCGCAATTTCTATATCCCGCTAAAACGCGAAAAAATGTTTTAATGAAATTTAAAAAAAAACATAACATCGTTGTAAATTGGTTTCATTTGTCTGGCCTTTAATTGTAATTGCCGTCAATACTGCGATTGCAACATGACCCCCCCCCCCCCCAAGCGAATAATTAAAAATGTTAATTAACACAATTAGTCACTTACTGAATTTACCATTACAATTATTCCCTCATATAACGTACGCCAAGCCTGATAAATACATGGTGATGCCTGCGCTCGTGTACCTGTTACCGCAGTTTAAAACAAAAATCGGTTTGAATTTGAAATAAAACATTTTGTATAAAGCAATGCCGTAAAGACACAGACCTCTTCTAGTAAGACAAACCTGTCCAGAACGCGGAACTCTGCAGCAGCTTAAAGGTTTTAATACATCGTGCAAGCTAAATGTATATGAAGGTTTCCTGGGGAAATAAAACATTGGGGATCGGCTCGCAACCGAGTCCTCCAGCGCGCTTTCTGCTCATCATACATCTTTGTCTTGATAAAGTTTTTTGCCCAGCCCTATGGCCGCACATAAAGGTCACTGAATTATTTGCAAGAAAAGCTCATCCAGAAATATAAAAATATATAATCCAAAAGTTTTGATAAAAATAACCAAATAAAAAAGATTAAATTACTCTAACAATTTAATTGTTGTGGAAGATGTGTCTGTGGCTGATCGCTGACTGATAAATATAAAATCTCAAGTAACGCTAAAGGAACATTAACGCTGCTTCGGTAAATTTTCAAGGCGGAAACGAATCTGAGCAACTCGTCAAATTTTGACCATTTAACGAGTAACGTTTTTTTTACTACCTACTTTCAGTAACTGTCAATAGACCGAACGCTATACACCGAAAACTGGCAACTCTATAGTTATGTGTAGTTTTAATTGCATTTTATTTGTTGATACTTACCTGAAACCTGAAGAAATTCTCCTCTCCTGTTTAGGTAACTGAATCTTTCAACTGAATGTTCAAACATCTGTTTTAAGGCAGTACCATTCAGTGTTACTGTGGTAATGGTTTGACCAAATGGTGCAGTTGTGAGTATGTCCCCCATAGTTATGGCTGTAATAAAAAGATTAGAATCTTTGAGAGAAATGAAAATCAGGCCACAATTTATAGTGTTTGACATTAAATGCGTAAATACTGAGATAACTGCAACTGGGCATGTGTCAAGAATTTTGTAATTTCTGTCATATGTGTATTGTACTATATTTCACGCTACGTGGATCATAAAAATGATATGGGAGGTATTTCTGTTTTACATTACAGATGAAGTAAACAATTCAAGGTTTTATTTTTGTTTACTTAAATTATTTTTCGGCACACATCTGTCAGCCATAGCAGCAGGTATGGTTACGGAGAATTGTGAGTTTATTTTACGCGCCACATGATCCTACGAGCGCAACATTAATGACCTCAACAAAGTCGTGAAGTAGCGGCAGGTTTTTAATTTCAACTAATGGGGAGTTTCTGTCGTGAAATGTCAGAGGGAAAAATAATTCTTGAAAATATCATGCTTTTTTGGGTGTTCTTGTTTTTGTATTGTTCCTTCCTAGATAAACTCTTTTCGCATTTTATGCGCATGCTATGTGCATTCATTGTTAAATACTGATTTGTTAGCTGCGACGCTCTTAGAGTAATAAGAGTTGTACTCCAATGAAAAATGTCGTTAACAAATTGTTGTGTTTTTGTTGTGTTTGTTTTTGCTTTGTATTGCGCTACATATTATGCATAAATATCGTCCTGCTTATGGTCCATGCAACGCCTGCAGTGTTGCTAAATAAAAATATATTAGGTTTTTTGCTCTTGAATGAATAACCTGAGAAAACTGGTTGTTGACATTTCGATATATCGTAATCTAATTTCTGAGACACGGACGAGAAATGACTACAAAATGAGACGTCTTATACGTTATTATATTTGTTGGGTCTGAAGCTCTTTATTGTGTAGTTTCTAAAGATGCTCGCCTGCATACTTTTGGTTCTTAGAAATCGATATGTCACCAGAAAAAACGTCTAACCTCGCGAAAGTTTGGAATCGTAGGTTCATGCCTTGGCCCTAATACGGTTTCGCACATAGACGTTAGTAGTACCTGCGTACTTTTCTTCAAAGTTTCTAAGGCCTTCGTTGGGCTCGCCACGAATTGCCAAAGTGCCATACTTGAGCTAAATATTCCACGTATAAACAGAAGCAGCAGTGAAGCCTTAGTCTGGCACATCTTCGGCAATTTAGGCCTCAAGTTGCCACATAAAAGCTAAACTGCCAGAAGTGATGCCTAACTCTTGCCTTTGTCTGGCGATTTAGGCCATGAGACGCCAGACTAGAAGCTGAACTACAAGCTGTGAAGCATAACTTGGACATTGGTTGGGCGAATTAGGGTCAAGATTTCCAGACTCTGACTGAAGCAGCTCATGTTTGGCTCTACTTTGGATTCTTTGGCTTGTTAAGACCCTAAATGTCTAGACATCGTTTACATTTTGGCCCAAAGGACTGTGTTACTGAGCTTTAATATTAAAAAAAAATACTATTTACAAATAATATAAATGCCTCGGTTTATTTAGCTTTCTTTTTGTCTCCGCTGGCTGAATATCTGCTTGTAGTCGTAAAATTTGCAAGGATAGCCTAAATCTAAGGATATTTTATATATATTTCACATCCTGAATTCAAAGCTATCGATTTTGTTGATTACTACTGCTGCAGATGGGAATGAGATTATGCTATAGTATTATAGGATAGGCCGTATAAAGTTTTTATATCACGTTCTTCATCTCGGCTGTCTGCGGATTTAAATGTGTGCGTAAGTGTAGAATGTCTGTGCCTATCTTTCTGAACAGTCTCATCTAAATACGGGTTCTCGATCAGTTTGCTCGTCTTCATCGCGCCAAGGTATTCGTTGTGGCCAACAAATCAGATGATGTTTTCATTTACAGTATATATATATATAAATATATATATATATATATATACTGTATATTTTATTTATTTATTTATTCAGTTTTTTTACGTCCGCTGCTTTTCGTCGAGCCGGCTACTCCCGGGCTCTTTTAACCGCGGCCAGGCGTTCCATATTTGCTGCTTCTTCCTGTATCTTGCCTATTTTAGGATCTGCTTTGTTATGTCTTCCCACATGTGGCGTTGTCTCCTTCTTTCTCTTACTTTACTCTTGTGCCTCCACTAATGTCTTCGCGAGTGAAAGTTTACTGCACGAGTCTAGCGCAGTCATAAGCTCGCGTGGATCCCGTCCCTGCCCTTTGTACACACCGCCCGTCGCAACTACCCATTGAATGATTAGTGAGGTCTTCGGACCAATACCCGGAGCGGCCTTTCGGTTGCACCGGTGTGTTGTAAAGATGACCAAACTTGATCAGTTAGAGGAAGTAAAAGTCATAACACTGTCGGACACTGTTAGCGCGAACATGGCGTCGATTAATTGATCGCTAACAGTTCGTAATATTCCGTTTTTTGCTCTTGTAAGAAACAACATAAATTTCGGAACCAAATTTCCGTGTTTAGAGGCTCATTATGAGACTGATCTTATTACAATCAACGACAATATTACGTTTCTTTATTAAGCCGAGGAGAAATAAATGAATGCGGTATATTTAAAGGTGGTTCTCAGAACGAAAGGAAAATAAAGGAATGCGGACTCCGAATCAAGAGCATATGTTCCCGACCTCTAATTGGTAGTAGTATTGTACCATCGTCTTATATTCTCCTTCCGGGGAATCATAAATATTCTGAAGTTGTTTCCTTTAAATACATTTCTCAGCATTTTGTTTAAAACATATGAGAGAGGGCGCAAAGGGCGAATGTCCCAAAATGCTTTGGCTGCATAAACGCAATCTGCGGGAGGACGAAAAGCGTGCACTCCGCGTTATAAATAGTTCAAGTATAGATATTGTTCCTTATCGCCAACGTTATTGGTGCCCCCGTTCTATGCCGCGTTCCTTAAGTAAACAGTGATTATTCACTTTTCGCGTGAACCGTGGGAAAAAAATTTGCGTTCTTTTTTATAGCTTTAAGAATACATATACAGCTTGTTTAAATAATCCTGGTCATATAATGCAAACTTATATTTCTGTTTAATGAGGCTTCGTAGTTGACGTTTTATACCTTTTGGTGAGAATAAGAGCAGAGCATAATTACGGTGACTGATTCTGTGGTGCATCGCGAGTAAGACCCAGTTGCAGCCATTAGTCGCTCGACTCGTTCGTTTTAATCATGGTTCCCGACTGACCGAGACCCGTGCTCTTTCAAACCGCGCGCTCTCACCACGTGAGGACCGCGCTCTTCCCAACATGCCCCGCCATCTGCTATAGCATAAGCAGATACGTCACATCTTCCCCTCACTTGGCTGTGATCCCGTATCTTGTGGGCGGTCTTCGCTTCCGCGTTCCTACCCGGATGGGCATAGACACAAGTTCGGACACTTCGTGACATTCTGCACTTATCGCTTCAGCTGGTATCTCTTCAGCTTGAGCGTCCAAGCCCCAGGCAGCTGAGGGTGTATCACTCGACCGACGCGTCAGAAGACGGAACTTGCCCGTCTTCTGTCTGGTTTATTCATGACCGCGAAACCAGGGCTCTGTGATGACCCCCGATATCCAAGTTCGTCCACTTGGGAATTTCAGAACCCATACGGATTGTCCTACCATAAACTGACGTGGATTTTTGGTTGTCGCTGGTACCTCGTCCTTTGGTACGCGTATCAGTCTCTCAAGGGGAGATGGCAGCTCTCGTGCAAACATCATCCACGCTGCTGTATTGCCTGTCGCCGTTTGCACTGTGGTATGTTGCTTGTAGAGGAACCGTGGTAGAAAGCACTTAAAGTCCTCCTATTCTATTTTAGCAAGCGCCTGCTTCAGCTGCTGCACCATCCGTTCCGCTTGACCGTTTGTTGCGGGGTGGTACGGCGCACTTGTGACCGCCAAAACTCCATTTAGGCGGTAAAATGTCCTTATCTCATTGGAATCAAAAGCCGACCCATCATTCAATAACACTTTTCGTGGTACACCAAACGTCGCAAAAACGTTGCGTAACTCGCAGATAACGCATGCTGAGGTCATACTCAAAATAGCCCATACTTCAACCCATTTAGTGAACGCATCCACAATGACCAGGAACTCTTTTCCGTCCACCGGTTCCGCATAGTCTACATGAAGGATGTCCCACCGAGTTGACGGTCGTTCCCATGTTGGGCTGCTTCCTTTGGATATTGCCTTCTGGTGTCGCTGACACGTGTCGCACTGGGCCACACAGGACTCAATCTCTTTGCCGATCCCCGATTACCACAGGTAACTTCGGACGCAAGCCTTCATGGCGAACACTCCTCTGTGTCCTGCATGTACCAAGGCTAACGCCTCTGATCTCATAGAAGTGGGAATTACGATGCGCGATCCCCAAGATCAGGCAACCTCGGTGTATCGATAGTTTCGTGGACTTCATCTTGTAAGCTGTGAAACGCTCGCCAGCTAGCTTCTTGACCTCTCCACTCTTGACTGCTTGTAGAGCTTCAGAAAGCGTGGGGTCCACAGCAGCCTGGTCTGCTAGGCCTTTAGCTGTCATGGGAGGCTTAGTCAATGCTTCCAGCATAAGAACGTCCCCTGGCGGTCGCGGTTCATCTTCACTTTCTCTTGATGGTAGTCTGCTGAACGCGTCTGCGTTTTGGTTGTGTTTCCCTGCTCTGCAGATGAGTTCGTAGTCGTATGCAGCTAATTTCACACACCATCGTGTCATGCCTCGGTGACAGAACCGCTGGCACTGAAGCTTTCGGACCCATAATCCCCAGCAAAGGCTCGATGCTCGGTGGTTACTGCCACGTGACGTGCGGCAAGATATCGGTGCAAACGTTGCATGGCAAACACAATCGCCAGTCCCCGATGCAATTGCGAATAGTTCTTTTCCGCGTCTCTTAAGGACGAGGTACCAGCGACAACCGAAAATCCACGTCAGTTTATGGTAGGACAGTCCGTATGGGTTCTGAGGTTCCCAAGTGGACGAACTTGGATGTCGGGGATTATCACAGAGCGCCTGGGTACGCGGTCATGGATAATCCAGACAGAAGACGGACAAGTTCGACGGCACAGGGACCACATATGACCAAGGCTATTGGCTGCGCGTCGGTCAAGTGATACACCCTCAGCAGCCTGGGGCTTGGACGTTCAGGCCGATGAGGTACAAGCTGAGGCGATAAGTGCAGAAAGTCACGAAGTGTCCGAACCTGTGGCTATGCCCATCCGGGTGGGAACGCGGAAGCGAAGACCGCCCACAAGATATGGGATCACAGCCAAGTGAGGGGAAGATGTGATGTACCTGCTTATACTATAGCAAATGGCGGGACATGTTGGAAAGCTCGTGGTCCTCACGTGGAGTGAGCGCGCGGTTTGAAAGAGCACGGGTCTCTCGGTCAGTGGGGTGCCATGATTAAAACGAACGAGTTGAGCGACTAACGGCCGCAACTGGGTTCTACTCGCGATACACCACAGATTCCACTTACGATCGTAGTGCTTAAGAAAAATGGGCGTATTCATTATTTAGAAATAAATCTACATGACATAACTTTGATTTCAACCTCGCAACGTATGGATATAAGAAAATGTTTGCCTTTGAATGCCCCTGGTAAATTACAGGGTGTCTCAAATAGCAGCCAGGCTCTTTAAATCGGCCGCAAATATCGGTCTTTTAACCTACTGCGCTACGATCTTGTGCAGCATCGCCCACAGCTGGTGCATTTTGTTTTTAGAATTTACAGAGACCGAACTTATTTGAGGAAGAGTCTTGAAAAATAAAGAAAAAGGCTTAACTCCTATGGAAACGCAGCGAAGCCATCGGTCTTCACACAATAAAGCGCTCTATTGTTTGAAGACATGTGGCTTCGTGTTCGCGCTAACAATGTCCGTCAGTGCAAATAAATACATGTACGAAGCGGTTTTAGCTCTGTTTTCAGTAAAATTAATTTAAAATAAATACGTCACAATTGATTAATTATTTTGTCTCCCTGACTGAGAAATGTTCCAAGCTAGCTAGTACGCACGAAGTATTCCAGATATTTGCTCTTATAATCGAGCGCAGGGAGGAAATGCACTTGTTTTTTTCCCATAAAAATGCATTACCGGAAGTCAATTTCCGACTGGTTGCTTTCTGCTTCAATTGGCCGCAGCACACTAGCGCCAGTTGAACCTCTAGCGTACATTCTAATAACTATACCGCTCCAAAGGATTTTAGTTTTTCTTCAGTCGGACTTAAAGTAAATCGGAGGATAGAGGAGCCGCCGCTTTACGAAATCAGCTTTGCACTTTGCTTAATCTACAGCGACAATAGCAGGGGCGCCGTCCGGGTTGAAAGACATACAATGGTTTTTACTACTGCAATTCTATCGCACGACTGCTTCAACTTACGTCCTTGTGGGAATGGAGCTCTGATGGTTCCCCCGTTTATTATCGCCGCATTCACCTCTGACCAAAGATCTGGAGAAGGCGTGTTCATATCCGCATAGTGGGCGAAGTAGGCATCGGCCATCATATTGCCGAGGTTGCACTCCCGGACTCGGCATATATCATCATGTTGTTCGAGCAACACTTTGGACCAACCAACTGCTTTATTTATTACCTTAGTGGCATTTTTCTTGAACGGTTCAATAACTTTAAGCATATCTTCATCTGTAAGAAATTCAAAGAACGAATTCACCAAGTATCCGAAACGACGACTACACTTAATTTTTCTCAGAAATAGCAGCCTTAAGTTTTACAATACTGGTAATGTAATAAAGCTTGATGTCATAGTGCACATATTTATGTTTCTCATTCATCTTGTTATTTTTCACATGAAGTAATATTAATAATGTAATTTGAACTAGTATCGGTATTCTCCGTCAGCTTGCTTCTTGTGATTATGACAGCATCCACGACAGGGATGGGCAAAATACATGCAAATATGTATTGAAATACAAATAAAAAATACTTTGTCAAAAATGTATTTAATTACAAATCTAATTACATTTCGAAAAAAACATTTAGGTACAAGATACAAATACAAGCAAATGCATTTGGTCTCCTCCAAATACTTTTCCAAATACATTCCTCAACATCTGCGTCAGCGACTTCAGGGCACCTGCAACGGGTTTCAGGGTATCTCATTTTAATTTTGCATCGCACACTCGGGAGTTAGTGTGCGAGGCTCTAGTAACGTAATAGAAATATAATCACAAAAAAATCTAATCAGCTTGGACGGAATAGGTGAAAAATGTACAGGGCTTCAAGTACCTTTTTTTGTCGATTACATTTTGGTATAGACCAACAAAGAACCGAGACGACCAAGACGCGCAGCACTAGCTAGAGAATTTTTTATTGTAGCAATTCGCACCAGTTACGAAAATCTGGACGACCCGCGCATTTAGAATGTTCCAGGCAAAAATATGGATGGAAATCAGGCTGGAAAGCATCACAAGTTGTCACAGGCACTTGTTTAGCCAGTCTGCCTGTGAACGTCGATTTCGTCACTATTCTTGCCTTGGACTAGCACACGTGTGAGACAGATGAAACCGGTTTTGGAGCAATTTTTGGAGCAGAAAAATCTGGATTTTGGAGCAGCTTAGGAGCACAAAATTCTCGTTTGGAGCAGCAGTTTACGCATTTTGGAGCAACTTCGAAGCACAAAAGTCCCCCATTTGGAGCAGATTAGGAGCAGAAAATGTTAGAGCAGCTAATCAGAAATTTAAATAATAAAAAATCTTATATAAATCACATAAATCAGATTTTTGTTTTTTAATCGTTATTTTGTCCACCCTGGTTCCAATAGGTCATCAGCGCCGATACGCACCAAGATAAAATAATAAAAAAAAACTGAAAAGGCAAACGCGAGTTTTATGCGCATAGATGAGGACAAGAAACACAGGCTTGCTGCAAAGTTGGGTGGGCACCAGGTTTAAAGTGGTGATTCGAGAGCATGAACAAAGAAGCACGGTTTACTACAACCAGATATCGATCGGACGCTCGTAGAAAGCACGTGCAGATAGAAAGAAAAAAACTCCCCACAAAAGTTAGTCGCAAGGTAAATAGGGAATTGGTAGAAAACCTTTGAGCACCACATTCGCGCTAAATACGGGTGTGTGACCGATTTATTCGATTGCTCACGCACTGGAAGCACGTGTGTGATAACCGAAAGTACTCACGGCGACGGCGTCGTTTATTTTGACGAGATTACGGACATGAATGAACAATCACACAATGGAGGCGCTCGGTAGCAATTTTAAGAAAAGGTTTACTCTCAAAACGAAAGAAATTCTTAGGTTTGCTCATCTTGATAGCCTGTGCGTCGTACCTCTTGCGGCCAGACAGCGAGACCGCATGACAGCGCACCGTTAGCATGCAGTCACAAATGAGTGAAATAACAGCGGAAAGTAGTAGGAAAATCGGGAAAAGACCACGTATCATAGGTATAGAACGGTACTCCAGCTGAAATCTTCGAATCCGACGGTTGCTTGCGCCAAGCTGTACCCGAGCCGTGTGGTTTACTACGGCAATTGAATTTTGCCAACCAAGCTCTCGCTTCCCGCGAAGCCTAGCGTCGCGGCAAACTTTTTTTCAGTTTTTGAGTAACTTTGGCGCAGTGTGGCGCAACTTTGACCGATTTCGCGTTTTTGGCGCAACTAAGCGCGAAAAATTGGGTTTGTATCAAAATGGCGCAATTGGCGCCGATATCACACTCCGGCAGTAGCACCGTAATCACAGTCACTAAACGCTCGTGCTTGATTGAGAGGCACTGCATTCGGTGCAGAACGTAGTTTTCTTCCTGCTTTAGACACGTCTTAGGATGAGCAAAATGAATCGTGACAATAAATTTGAGGAATGTATTTTCGCCCACAAAATTGTATTTAACTACAATTGTATTTGAAATACCCACGTTTAAGTATTTAAATACACATGTCAAATACATTACCCAATTTGTAATTAAATACAAATGCAAAATACACAAAGTATTTGAAATACGTATTTCAAATACTTGTATTTGAAATACTGCCCATCCCTGATCCACGATATACCAAAATTAACAGTGGCATACGATACCCTCTGTTCAGAAAAATTAGTCACCACAAACAAATATGTCTACTTGCAGACGTTTTGCATATTTCTTGGTTAAAACATTTCCCACAACTGTCTTTATTGTATTTCTAAGTGTTTTTACAGAAATATACCTCATAATATCTACGCGGAAAAGGACGCAGTCTCTATTTACTACTTCGAAACTATGAGGATATCAATATATTACAAACAATACATTGAATATAACAAAATTTACAAAATTGACTGTCACGCTATAGCTTGACTTTTCGAATACGTATTTAAGATATAAACAGCGCACAGGCAAAGAATATATAAAAACATAGAGCGCTTACTGCCAACGGAAGTCAGCGATTTTTGTTCCTTTCCTCTGTGCCTTTGCGCTGTTTTAATGTGATGTCTTTATACCAGCTAGCTCAACTCTCCACATTACCGTACTCCTTTGATTTATACAAGTTTATCCAAGTCTGAAGTTTGTTTTTTTTTTCTTCTGAAGAGCGACGAATATGTCTTTACCTTTTTAATATTATTTAACTTACCTTCCTTTACTGTTGAGTCTAGAAGAATTGGGTTTCCGGTCCCACGAAGGACATTTCCATCCTTGTCAAACGCAACCTGTAAAAATCCCAGGAACTTTCCGTGGTAGTAAGCTTGAACTACGAGTCCTTTAGAACCATCAGTTTTATTTACGACTGTGGGATAATCGCCTTCTGGGGTATTTTCTTTTGGAAATCCAGTGCCTGAGAGGAATGATTTAAAAGTAAGCATATTAGAACGCATTATTAAAATATAATAATTGCTCGTTCAAATTACCGTGGTAAAGGAAAGTATTTGTGTGTCCACCAACAATCACGTCCAAGTCATTTACTTGTTTCATAATTTCCAGCTCTCGTAGATAGCCACAATGGGTAATGGCTACGATAACATTCACTCCTTGATTCTTGAGGTACGCGATTTCGCTTTCAAAGCTTTTGATTTCGTCATAAAATATGACATTCCCTGCAAAACAACGCAAGTAAATTAAACAATTAGGAGGATGTAGCTCATCACATCTGGTGCGACAAAGTATATGCATTGCAGTGTAATAGAATACATCATCTAATAATCAAATTCCAACTAAAACGTTGAGAACTGACGAGTTCAGCTCACGAATCTTAGCAGAAAATTACATGGTATGTATTGAGAGGAAAAATCTATCTATTTGTCGTACTCAATATATTTCCTGGGTATGTAAGGTATGCTAGATTGAACGTACGCCGCGTGGTATTTTACACTTGTAGCAACATGATTGAATTCTCGTGAAAGCGTTTGAGAATTGTTGCAGTGGTGGTTTCGTAATAATCAAGCTTAGTTCGAGCCAATTTAAACCTGAGCGCTTGACTATATATAATTACTCCGCGAGCGCATATGATACCGCGGCCATAAAGAACTCTCAGATTCCCTGCTGTACTTCATGTGTATGTCGACGTTAACGCAAAATTAAAAACTGCTATATCAAGACATTTAGGCAAATACTTTCAGTACATTAGAAAACACATATTACCGCTTCACATCATTTCGTGTCAACAACAGCGTCAGTCAACACAGCTTACTGTATAAGCTTGCTTACAACATTGCGAGTGGACATCCTTTTGAACATCCTGAAAAAGTATAATTTTTCTTGCAGCATGAGTTCTGTCTATACAATAAAACAAATTGAGCTAGGCAAGTGATGAGACAAACACTGAATAGAATAACAACGTGAAGTCACCCTGAACGTGACGCTTCTGATACCCAAGTTATCCCAGGTGTATGACTGAGGGCTTGATTTATTAGAGAACGCAAATTTTGGGAGGCGCGATTCGGGAAGGGGGGGGGGGGGGGGGGGGGGGGATCGAGGCTTGGGTGAACAGCATCTAGTGTTTCACGCCTCCTCGGATATTTGCTCGGCTTACGGCCCTACAGGAACCACACTATCTTCACGTGTGCTTCTGCGCGAGATTTTAGTCAAGGGCCAACGCTTTCAGCGCTCACAATCGTGTTACTTCGTATTCAGCATCTAAACTGTTTTTAAGAACCAATACTACCAATCATCATGTCGCCGCCGTCCTCCGGGGGAGTCGCCGTCATGGTATAATGTACCGTCAACCTTGCTCGGTTTACTCTCACGATTCGTCTTTTCTCAAATAATCAAAGAGCGCGAAAGTCGTATCCTGCTTGCGAAAAATGCAGACGCTCAAATAGGCCAATCAACGCCGTGAATTTACTTCGTGGTTTTACTCCATGAGGAAGTCCCAATACGCCGCCCGACCCATGCACATATTTTACCACCGAGTACAATTTCATCTGCTGAGGAGCCTTTTCTGCCATTACAGTCTCTACGTCGAACAAAGAACAGAAATCAGCGCAACGGGTCCCCCGTGTCACAAGCAAATCCTACCAAGAACGAGGCCAGACGTACCCGAAACATGAGACTTATTGTCGGAGCTGCGAAGGGGAACAGCGGCTAACGGACCCGAGGAACCCGGTGCGAACGCAAGAGGTTTTACGAAAGCACAACAAAGCCTGCCGTGAAGCGGATACCTTCATATACTAGCGACGACCACCTAAACTGCAAAAAATATCCCACTATGTAACAAGCTGAACCAACCTGCATTTCAGCGACAAGCCATGATAGCCCGAACCCAGAACCCCCGCCTTGAGCCGACCACCAGGGTCGGCTCACGCTGGTGGTTCTGGTGGTCTCGGTTGCCTTGAGCCGACCACCAAGGCAACTGAGACCACCCTGAAGACATTCACTGAACAAGTGGTACAAGCCACTCGGTCCCACAACCCATGTCGACGTAAGTGACTCAAGTCAACATCGTCGCTACGGCCCTGTTAAGAAGGGTGAGTTACCCACCTCTTCCAACACCCCCTCCGCCAGCTCCCATACCCACGACACTACGCAAAATGGTCAACGGCCGCCATCATATAAACAGGCGCTAGAGGGAGGCTGGAGACAAATATTATTTAACCACACAAAATAAAACACGTGCTACGAAGGAAGGCAGCCGCAGTAGAAAAACACCAACAAAGACACACAGCCTACATCATTAGACCCCCCCCCCCACCGCCCTCCCACAAACAGGCTCCAAGAGAAATAGCTGGGACACTTCCACGAATGTGCGAGTATCTAGAACCCTCTTTACTCACAACTACATTTTGCAGAAATTATTACAATAACGAATGCCGGCTATATTGCGACACGAGCCCCTTAATGATGTCGCGTTCATACAATTTAATTATTTATGTGTGAGTCAGCGCTGTCTAGCTGTGTCTTTCTTGATGAGGTCCCTAGTCCTTCGCGTTGTTTTAATTTTCAGGGTTTCTTACCCTTCCGTGAGTTTGAATAGCATCCTTTTTATCCAACGCCTATTGATAAAACATTTTGCATAAACTCCGAGGTGAACTGAATGTACAGAGTGTCACAAAAAAAATTTGCAGCTTTTTTTGGTTTCTTTTTTTAACCGCAAAAATAAACTAGGCATAGCCTAACGCTCATTATCCGCCCAAAGGCAGCGCTAGAGGTCATAACCGGATGCCAAAGTTTCAGCCCGGAGGGACACCTTACTCAAAAGTTATAAGTGATTTTCTGAAAATTTCAGGGGGAAAATGTAGCCCATTTTTGCTTGTTTTCGGTTTCTGGTGTTATAGAGCCCCATGTACTTGAAAACTACGTCGGCCGGATTTTCCCATTGAGCTCTTTAGAAAATCACTTATAACTTTTTAATAAGGTAGCGGATCGGACTGGAACTTTGGCATCTGGTTGTTACCTCTAGCGCTACCTTTGTTGGGCAAAGAATGAGCGCTAGGCAATGCCTATATTAGTTTTGCAAAAAAAAAAAAACTTTTTTTTGTGACGCTTTGTAGAAAATATCGAGGTACCGATAAATGCAGACAAACATCATGTATTCGTCATCTTTACGAATAAAATAAGAAAAAGCCTTGAGGCGAATGTTGGGCTAAGCCAAGTGGAAAAGTGTTACGTTTTGTTTCTTGTTGTAGAGTCATTGCAAAACCGGACTCGAATAATCTTTCATATACTAATTTAGAGTTAATAACATCGAATCAAAAATTATTATCATGAAGTACACGCTGTCGCGTACTCTTATCGCGCATTCAGGCTCGTTTACTTAGGTTTCATTGTCACAGAAAGTAGAAACAGAGTGCAGAGGCTGAACGCATAATTTTAAGGGAACGTGACACGGCCGGAACATTAGAGTATTAATTTCGGAGAAATTTAAGGTGCTTCTCACCTGGACTTGAGAGTTCTTTTGTTTGGGGAAGGACCGCCCCAATGATTCCGACTTTTCTTTGGTTCACTTGTATTATCACACTTGTTTGGATGGGCTTGTCTTTAAGGTACGGTTCCTGGCTGAAATTAGTATTGGTGCTCACAACGCTTATATTCGCAGCTTTCATGCTTTCTAAAAAAGGGGCCAGTCCTTTGGGTCCATCGTCGAATTCGTGATTGCCGAGGCACTGAAACAAACGGGTTTTTTTATTTGACAAAATTGAAGCGGCCGTTTCCTTACCCACATTATAATAATTTTGGGGAAATTGTTGAAACGCAGAGGTAGCACCTTTAATTTCCAGGATGGATAAAGTGTCACAGTTGACATTCATGAGTTAACTATTTAGATTAAACAGCTCATATTAAAATTAAAATAACCTCAATGATTGGTTCACAATTTCAGTACAATGGATTTACAGAAACACACAATATGAACGACTAAGCATGCTAAGAATGATTTCTTAGCATGCTTAGCCTTTCATATTGTGTAGAGTGGCTGAGAAATACAGAAAGTATGAATCAGACATGGGTCGTTCTTTTTAAGTGCTTGGTTGTCAGTTAAAACTTCGCTTGCCTACTTCCTGCTTGTGATCATGGTTTTATTTTTTATATAGTTCGCTGTAACATAAAAAAACTGCAGGAAAGGTTTCGCCCCAAAAAAATTGAACGCTAAGCTTGATGCCCAATTCACTGAGGAACGTTGGGAACTAACCGCAGCGTTATTTTTCTTTGTCCTAATATTGTGAAGACGCACTGACGTGTGAACCACTTTTAAATTATGTTTAAATAGTGGCGCTTGTGTACAAGGAGATGTGCTGTCACTTTCTTTTGGGAAATGAGAGGTTAAAGCCTCCATTTTGTAAGTGTTAGGTTGTAAGAGACGATTTTAACCAGGATAGCTATTCTGGAGGTGTCCTTTCTGCATCCAAGCAATATCGTGCAGCTTATATATCTTGATTATCAAAAGTTTAGTAACTACCCTTCAGTAAGCACGTAAAATATCATGCAACTATTTATAGGACTTGAAGGTTATGCTGGGTTTCACATGAAATGTAAAAGTCCAACTTGAAAGGTTTTTACGATGGGAGAACAAATTTGGTGGCACCATGTTTAGCCGGACAGTGTGAAGATGCGTTCATTTGCTGTGTCTAAGCATGCAGCAGTAGGGTCTTGCTAAAACTAATTTTTACGGGTTTAGAAAATAAAGTGTGAAATTTAAGATATATATATATATATATATATATATATATATATATACATATGTATATATACATATGTATATATACATATATGTATATACCAGGTGTTTTTGCGAAGACTTTCAAAAATCCTAAAAATTAAGGCGTTTGAGAAAAAATAATCTGTCTTCGGGAACATACTACCAGCCACGGCGGACGTCAGAAATTGCCAAAAACATGCTAAGTAGCCAGCTAATTAACTAAACTTGGTTAATTAACTTTTTAATTAGTGGAAATAGGCATATGGTTTCAATTAGAAAGTTGCTGAGCGTTATCGAAAACCACTCAAACAGTCATTTTCAGAAAGACTGAGCGCGTGAGAAGAGTAGTAGCGCGCTAAAGTTACCACTCGTGGAGCAGGTACAAGGCTAGCGGTTGTGGTAAGGTGCCCGCGCGATTTTTTCGCCTCTTATCTAGCCCCAGCCTTGTACCTGCTCCACGAGTGGTAACTTTAGTGCGCTACTACTCTTCTCACACGCTCAAAGTCTGTCTGAAAATGACTGTTTGAGTGGTTTTCAATATCGCTCAGCAACTTTCTAATTGAAACCAAATGTCTATTTCGACTAATTAAAAAGTTAATTAACATACTTTAATTAATTAGCTGGCTAATTAGTATGTCTTTCGCAATTCCTGACGTCCGCCGTAGTTGATAGTTTGTTCCCGAATGCAGTTTTTTTTTTCTTTCAAACGCAATAATTTTCAGGATTTTCGAAAGTCTCCGCAAAAAACACCCGGTATATATTGTAACGGACAAGGAAAAGGAAGAAAAGAAAAAGAAGAAGACGAGGTCGTGTGGAGAACGGGGGACTGAATTATGGGTTGCCCGTTTAGCCCATGAACTGAGACTCCCGCAACATTTGGTGGCAGCGGTGGGATTACGAAATGACAACCCAATCGGAGGCAAGTGGCGTCATCTCAACTTCAGCGGCAATGCAAATCACGGAGCGGTTAGCTAATCTACTCGCCGAAAGGAGTGCTACGGACATTGTGAACCCGCTTGGAACCCTCGACGATCGCCTCGCAACCCGTCTGTCTCTGCTGGAATCTGCGGTCGAACGTCAGGTTGCCGATGTAGGGCAACGCCTCAATGATGACCTTTCGTCCGTGGAATCTCGAATTCGACTGCCTGTGCACCACGGACTGCCACTCAAGCTGCCGACATTCGATGGGCAGTCGTCTTGGCAAGCCTTCATCATCCAATTCGAAACGGTTGCAGACGTTTACGGGTTCGACTCAACGTCCAGAGCTCGGGCAATGGTGGCCCAGTTAAGGGGGAGCGCTGCTGAATGTTTTGAGAGCATGTCTGCCACAAATCGTTCCTCATATCAGCTACTCATAGAAGCTCTAAAGTCCCGCTTTGGTGATGAACATCTCCAGCAATTTCACCTGACTGCTTTAAAGCACCACCGCCAAGGCACGGACACACTGCAGGAGCTAGCTGACGTAATCCAGCGGATGGCGAGAAGAGCGCTCGTCGGATGTACGGAAGTCGACGTGGAGCAGATAGCAACCACTGCTTTCATCGACGCAATCGAAGACACCAACATCCAGCTTCTTGTGCGACTCGCCCACCCAACCACGACTCGTGCAGCACTGACTCGCGCACTCGAAGTTCAAGCAGCCAACAAAGCAATGGACATGGTGTCGGCATCTGAAATCCAGCTTTCGCGGGTGGCTCACCGATCGTCTCCGGTACGTTCAAGTAAACGTCGTTGCTTCACGTGTTGTGACATTGAGCCCTTAGCTCGGTCCTGCCCAAATCACTTGGCCCCGTGCAAAACGCAACCTATACCAACGCCAAACGTTTCAAGTGACAGTGAGCCTGGCAAGGTTGAGTCTCATGTAGTGCATCATGTTCCTCTGGTGACAACGCCACTGCGCACCTCACCAACGCCGTGTCTTTCAGTTCATCTTCATGAGTTGGGACAACATGTGAATGCTATCGTGGACTACGGAGCTGCAGTAAGTCTAATCGATTATGCATTACTGCAATCAGCGAAGTGCACCACGCCCAAAACACTTCCTGGTACCGTCTGTCTTATATCAGCCGACGGTTCTACAATCGAACAAGAAGGACAGATCTCGTTGACTGTAGAAACCTTAGGAACAACAGTCAACCTCCCCTTTGTAATTGTGCGCAAGTTACAATGGTCAATGATACTCGGCCGTGACTGGTGTTCAAACGTCCAACTCTCCCTATCGTTTCGAGGAGGTGAACATTGTTTGTCAGCCGTACCAACTTTCAGTACTGGCGATCAGTCCAGTTGTTCTGCGACAGAGAGGCCCCAAGGACATAGCAGGAGAAGCAAAGAAGCAATTTCCTGGAATTTTGAGAGCTTATTCGATGGATTTGTCCTAGCGTGGTCCAGCTTGAAAAACCTTACGAAGACCGCTGCAGCCCAAGTGTGTTCTACCGTCGCAACTGCTACGACACTTGTGTCTGCACTAATGGCACCGATGGTCAATCGAAAACCACAGAAGGTCTTCCGTATGGTCGCAGCATCGGACATCGTTGTACCTAAGTTATCTGCAGTTTGGGCTGCAGCAATAATTCCAGGTTCAATGACGTCAAGAGATATCCTAGTTGAATCACTGCTACAATCTCGTCCTGGGGTGGAGTTTGCTATACCTCGCTGCCTTGTTTCCTGCGAGAAGGGGAGTTTGATGCTTCCCGTTTTAAACCTGACGAACGGTGACCTGCTCCTGAAATCGGGTGAAGACTTCGGACCTGTGACATTTGCCCTCTCACATGCCACTGTCGCAACAATTAGTGCGGCACCAAAGATGTCTGTCCCGCAAGATTGCCTTGAAAAAGCTAGTGACCTTCCGTGGTCGGAATTTAATTTCGGCCACAACTTAACAGAACAACAAAAGACACAGATACAAGAACTGCTCTTGGACTTTCGGCAGTGCATTGCTATTACACCAGAAGAGCTAGGGTGCACACCACTTGTGCGCCACACCATCAATACTGGTGATCACGCTCCAGTACATCACAATCCAAGACGTGTTTCGATGAGAGAACGGGAGGAGATAAACCGCCAGGTAGACGACATGACATCATAACTAGCTCCAACAGTCCTTGGTCGTCGCCAGTTGTCCTGGTTAGGAAAAAAGACGGTTCTACAAGATTCTGCGTGGACTACCGGAAACTTAACAGCATAACAAAACCAGACGTGTATCCTTTGCCACGGCTTGATGATGCCCTTGATCGCCTTCATGGTGCCAGCTACTTTACTACTCTGGATCTCATGTCCGGAGATTGGCAAGTGGAGCTGGAGCTGAAAGATTCCGAAAAAACTGCCTTTGTGACTCCTGACGGATTGTTCCAGTTTAACCGTCTTCCATTCGGACTCTGCAATGCACCTGCGACCTTCCAACGCCTCATGGATAGGGTGCTTGGACACCTGAAGTGGACGATGGCGTTAGCTTATCTTGATGATGTCATCGTATACGCTGACACCTTTGAAGAACACCAGCACCGTCTGCGTCTGGTGCTGAATGCCCTCACCAATGCGCATCTCCGTCTGAAACCATCGAAATGCTTCTTCGGATGCAGCACAGTCATTTACTTAGGGCATGTTGTCAGCAAAGAGGGTATTCGCCCGGATCCAACCAAGTTGGCAGCGCTAGCCAATATTCCTGAACTCACCACCACAAAGCAGTTGAAAAGCTGTTTAGGCTTTGCGTCCTATTTTCGTCGATTCGTAAGAAACTTCTCTCTCAGAGCTGCTCCACTGACTGAGCTTCTTAAAATAGACACCAAGTGGCGTTGGTCCGCAAAAGAACAAGCTTCTTTTGCTGATATCAAAAGGGCACTTCTTGAACCACCAACCCTGGCCCATTTTTCAGAACAAGCACCGACGTTCATTCACACTGATGCCAGTGGCGAAGGGCTTGGCGCTGTTCTTCTCCAGAGAGACAATGCAGGAGTAGAACATCCCGTCATATACGCAAGCCGCAAACTCAGCGAACCAGAAAGTCGATGTCATTCTTCAGAACTCGAGTGCCTCGCTGTTGTTTGGGCAGTGGAAAAGTTCCGTCCATACATCTACGGAAAGCATTTTACAGTCGTGACAGATAACACTTCTCTCCGTTGGCTTCAGTCAAAAAACGATCTAAATCCGAAATTGACTCGGTGGGCAATGAAACTGAAAGAGTTAGACTTCTCGATTATTCATAGAAGTGGGAAACAGCACCAAGACGCCGACTTCCTCTCACGGCACCCCATCGAAGACGCCAGAGTTGCTCCTGTACTCGCACTCCTAGATTTGCAGTCAGCACAAGCAGAAGAATGTGACACATTCAACATAATCCAGTTGCTTTCTTACGAAGTGAACGGGGGACCGCGACTTTCGGAACGTCGCTTACGGCGTCTACGAGCGTACTACCAGCTTTGGGACGGTCTGCTGTGTCATCGAGCACATCCCTCAGGAGCGTGGCTTCATGTAGTTCCCCCCAAAATGCGTCGGAACGTTCTTGAGATGTGCCATGATGCTCCAACTGCGGGTCATATCGGGCAACACCGGACGCTCGACAAAGTCGCCAAGAGATTTTGGTGGCCGCACCTCAGGACGGATCTCCGACAGTACGTCGCGTCTTGCGCAACATGCCAACTGCGGAAAACACCACCGCACCCGGCGAAGACCGAGCTACAGCAAATACCACCTCCAGGCAGCCCGTTTGAGGTAGTTGGAATTGATCACCTGGGGCCGTTTCCAAAATCTGATGATGGAAACAAGTACGTCATTGTCGCAACGGACTACCTGACGAAGTGGGTCGAAGTGGAGGCGGTTCCCGATACTTCAGCTGTGCATCTCGTCGCCTTCGTCAACAAACACCTTGTATTGAGGCATGGTACACCCCGCCGGATAATATCTGACAGGGGAACGTCATTTATGTCCCGTACTTTCAGTTGTGCTTTGCGAGACTACGGAATTGAACATGCGGCCGCTTCACCCTACCATCCTCAAACGAATGGCCTAGTAGAGCGTACCAACCGCAGCATTGGAGATATATTAGCTGCGTTCGTCAATAAATCTCACAAGAACTGGGACACATTCATTGGTACAGCGGCGTTCGCTTTGAACACTTCACAACAGAAAGTGACCGCCAAATCTCCATTTGAGCTTGTTTACGGAAGACTCCCGACGCTTCCGCAGGAATCATCGATGGGCGCTGCATGGACGCGTCGGGCGCGAGAGTACGAAGAGAACTTCGCTGAACGACTAAGTGAAGCCAGAAAACTGGCTCGGCTGGCTATTCTAAATAAGCAATCAAAGTTGGCCGAATGTCACAACAGAGAAACCTCATTGCCGTCGTTTTCACCAGGTGATGTGGTGCTTCTTCGAAGGAATCTAAGATGTCCACAGCACTCGGAAAAGCTTTTGCCCAGGTACTGTGGACCTTTCAAGATTAGCAGGCAACTTGGACCCGTAACATACCGTCTCGAACACCTTGACAGCCTGCCTCAGCGTGGGCGACGCCGCACTTTGGCAGCCCATTCAAGCCATCTGAAACTTTGTCACACGTGGTGACTATCTTAGCATCGTCCGGGACGGACTTCCGAACGGGGAGGGGCGAGTGTAACGGACAAGGAAAGTGAAAAAAAGAAAAAGAAGAAGACGAGGTCGTGTGGAGAACGGGGGACTGAATTATGGGTTGCCCGTTTAGCCCATGAACTGAGACTCCCGCAACAATATATATATATATATATATACCTGCAAAAATAAATAACATTCGTGAGCAAATTGATAGCGCTTCAAAATTAACATGCGTTTCTTGAGAAGTAAAAATTTAACCTTGCAACATTCTTGTTTTGTTTTGTTTTATTATTGAAAAGTATTGATTACAACTTCCAATAGTATAGATTGCCATTTTTTTATTTGCTTTAATATAGTGATTTTATTGAGCCAAACACACAAAAAAAACAGAACTGTAGTTACAAAATACTACACAATATCTGAGAAAGTACCTCTCGACTTTTCAGCGTTTATGTCAGGCGACATTGACCACTATATTTTCAACGCTTAGCGGTTAAGGAGCAATTCTGTGGCAGTGGCCGTTTAGCAAAGCCCTGTTTATTTAAAAAGCAAATTGTCCATTCTCGGATTATTTAGTGATAGTATGCCCACACAATCGAAAGTGATATAGATCAAGGTATAAAATTTATATTAGTATATTTTATTATGTACCTTGAGAAAAAATCCCCTTATTATGAAAATACTCTTCGGGAAATTACGGTTAGAAAAACAAACATTGGTGAAGTTTACAAAAGCACACCCAAAGCACAGCAAAGTTAACACCCAACCGGTGTTATGAGCTGCATAAACGTTCACATTCATTTTGTGATTCCATAAAGCAACTTTTATCTTTGTGAGTTTCGGCGGACACATAGTTATATAATGCTATTTTGGCTTACCACATGATCATACTTCATTTCGGTCATCATTGCAGAAACCATTTTGTGTTTCAAAATCGTGTAGTAGGGAGTCCCCTGGAAGAAATCTCCGCCGTTCATGAAGAGAGAATCAGGGTGTTTCTTTTTGAGTTCTTTGACCTGTATAAGTAATAAGAAAATGCGAAATATTCATCTGAAATTATTGATACACTGTATAAAATCGCCGATATCTTCTTCCTTTAAAGTATGTCCAGGGTGTTCCACTGAATTATCTTACCTTTGCAAGTAGTGCGACCGTTACTTATAAACTGTCATCGCTCATTGGTACTTAGGCTAGGTGGACCCGGCCCTGAAGAAATGTGTGTCAGAGTGATCTTATACTGACGGGAACGTTTTTATCTCCTCAAAATGTTATACGCCACCTCAACTATTTTACTTCACGCAGAGGCGGTGGCACTCAGGTGCATTTCCAGTCTGGGGTGTCGGCGGAAGTCGCCATGCGGGACGACCATTGCTGTGTTGCTTTGAAAAACAAAAAACACACTAAAACCTGCCTTCCTGTCAAAACGCCGGCACTGGTGGCTGCACCAAAAGAGCAAGTAAATATGGTCAAGATGCGTTTTTTACCTGTCCGGTTCGTACGAGAAGTTGGATAGATCCCGTGAAAGGGGAAAACGAGACGCCGTCGGACCACGATTGCTTGTTCGGGAAGCGCTTTGCTTTCAATTCACGGAGACTTGGGGTCGTGAGAGTTTTTTTTTATAAGACTGCTGACTAAGCGAGTTGGTAGTTCATGTCGAATAATGTAACAACACACAACAAGGGAAACACTCGCAAACACAGACACACCAAAAAAATATACACTAACTCGGCGCTGACTCACAACTCCTGGATTTGTATTGTCTTCTTCTATGCAAAAGTACCCACCTCCTCTTTTTTTATGTCTTAAGAACAAAATGACGACCTCAAATACAAATAAAAAATAAAAATAAAAAAACACAATACAGTCTAGGAATTACTTAAAAATAAATATTAAAAAGTAAAAAGTAAATAACAATAAAGAATTCTCACTGCTGGTGCCTAAAAGAACTTTTGGTTAAACACTCCAGATCTCTTTGTGAGAGAGTTAAAGGTGGCCTGCTGACACACTTGTCAATGTGCCCTTCGATGCTTGCTGCCTCGATAATCTCCTTGGTGAGCTGCTTGGGGCTCCTTCCCAGCACAGTGCAGTTGCTCAAAGGAGCCGAACACCCACATTCCCTACAGTGTACTCCGAAATGTCCAGAGTTGGCGTTGACGGCGTTGCTGGCATGCTCCCGAAGGTGGTCATTTGCACACCGACCTGTCTGTCTTATGTACACTCGGCCACAGGAAAGTCCGAAATAAAAAAAAAATAAACTTTAGCTTTTTTATGTTTTATTCATGCTGTTAAAATTTTCAGGTAAACAACTATTCGATACGTCACTAAAGCAAATCTCGTATGGGTTGTAGTGAAAAAACCTATTTAATTTATGTTTCGCAAATGCAAAGACTTTCCACAAAACATTTCATATATTAAAATAATTATTAACATGATGGCAAAAACGGTTGACGTTAATGATTGTGTATAAAACTGAACCTAAACAAATCACATTTACTGCTTTAAACACCTTCGTGCAAATTAAAATCATTCCTACAGTGTAAAGGTCTGGAAGAATCAGTGTTTCAATCAATTTGAGATCTAGTTCTTGACGAGGTTCATTTTTTTTATTAACATTAAAAGTAAACATAGTTTAAATCTACTACTAATAAAACAAGTTGTAACCCATGGAGGTATTACATCTTTCATAGCGATAGTGCTGCCTGATACTGACATAAGCAAAGTATTTGTAATTACCCATATATTATTTGTTTTTTCCTCTGTACATCCTGCAGCTAACTTCCCGTTTTATATAGAATGTTCGACCATTAAACTATGTAAATTGCTCAGTTGGCAATGTAACTACATGTGAAAGTCGGCAGATCCGAAAATTTAAGAGCACAAACGGGCGAACTCTGCCCTTTTTACAACAGTCACATAATTCAGTTGAGGGGTAGAAGACTGAAACACTCCACGCTCTCTTTAACATTAGTAGTATGTAGTTTAGAGAAATATGTCAAATAATTTCGAAATGACTGTTCGTAATATGCTTGCAATTTGACGAGATTATTACGAGATGGATTGAATTTTTTTTGTGCTTTTTTCAAAAGTTTTTTGCCCAACCCAGATTTAACTCTAAAGCACGTCATTCCAACACATAATTTCGATTGGTGGCACATGAATTCTGCGATAACCATGTGCAGTAAGTTTCCTCGGCAGTAAAAACGTAACATTGAAGGAAAATATTAAATTAAGCAAGTAAAGCCATTTGAGCGCTAACTTGAACTTTACAAAGAACAAACTACAACCATACCTTTGTCTAGAACAAGAAACGGCGCAAAAAAAAGGAGGAGTAGAAGAAGTAAACGGGCCAAGCGCTTGTCCCGTCCACTTCTTATACTCGTCTTTGTGTGTTTATTTTTTCTTTTTTTTTTTTGCTGTTTTCTTTTACAATTATGAATCAACTCGCCTTTATCCCCACCTTCATACCTTTGTGACGATCCTGGCAACTCCTCCAACACATGTTTTGTTTGCCTTGTCTCTAGCCGAGCAAACGCCTCCATACTTGCTGGTCTCTTCAATGTGCGAGTGAACGTCGTTCGTGTGTAGAATGGTAAGCGTAAACGACCCGTCGTCCGAGCCTAACAAGACGCTCACATTGCAAGCCAGAAGAATTGCAATCAACCGCCATGTTTTTAGAAAGGCGAACATCGCAGCTGCTACCTGTAACGAGAGAGCAATCGGAAAAGTACGTGGCATTTTATGCATGAGCCCATGGAAGCGTACATGCTCTCTGTGATGCTCAACAAAGGAAAGTCATAGAATAAAAAAGTAATTCCTAAAGGTCGCGGTCCTTTCACAATTTAGTGGAGTGACCGGTTTCGCCAAGACGCCGCGCGCCAACAAAGAAAAATCGTGGATCTGTGAGCGCATTTTTGATTCTTTGCTAATTTATAGGAGATTGCGGATGAATACAGGACAAGGGTCCGTTAAATATAAATGACGTCTTTTGAAATATTTTTTGTGTGGTCGAAATTCAGTCTAAATTTGTGAACCCCGAGTGTAGACGAAGAAAATATTGTTAACGAATATAGCCCCCCCCCCCCCCCCCCCCCACAACTCGATTTTTGGTATCAGCTGTTATATCAATGATCCCGTTAAAAGACACCAACAGGAAATGTGTGCCTTCGGCCTATTTTAAGTACTAAAGACAAAGATCATCAATAACATAGGTGACAGAAATGAGATATCTAGACTTATTCCAACCTTAAGCTGACAGTGCGGTTGGAGCCGCTCAATCGACGGACCAATTAACATCCTCCCATTTGTCCCCTAGCACCGCTCTGTGCGCGTGGGCATACCCGGGAGCGAGATCACGTGGTACAGGTTAGAGGACATGTGACTGGCCCAACGAGGACGTAGCTTCTCTCTGAGTGAGCAGGGTAGATAAATGTCGGAATACATTTTAAAGAAGCATCTATACTAAAATGTTTACCATCTATGTCGACCATGTACTGTATGTACATTTAGAAGAGGTAAACACAAAGAGGGTACATGGTCGATATAGTTCATAGCAGCGTCTTGCTATGTTCCCACTACGGACGCCAAGTGCTGATCTTTCATAACACGCGCAAACACAGGCGGAAGGAGCGAAACGATTTCGTTCAGACTACAGTCAATCGTGGTCTGGACGAATTCCTTTCTCTTGTTTGCTTAGGTGTGCGTAAGTTAGGAAAGACGGGCGTCTTGCATCCGTAGAGTGAACATAGCATAAGTAGGATTTTATCGACTTTGGTTTTAGTTTGCAAAAACTTTGTACTTTAAGTCAAACCAAAAAACGATACGCTTCTGCGTTCTAGGCAAACGCACATTAGAGCTCAAAAAAAGGAAAAAAAAGTTTTTTAAAGACAATGAAGAATAGTTTTTTTTCTTTCATGTTATTATGTATCGTGCTTACACAACTCTTTTTCATATCGATAATTATTATGCTCCTAATGCAAATCAACGATAGTATAGGCCCAAAGAGAATGCGAATACCAAGGCGTGTCTTTCGAATGCCCGGCCTCGAGCATGCGCTGTATGCCGCTGGGAATTGACTGCGCGCACAGACTTGAAAAGCACGAAACGCCGAAGTGTTGTGCAAACTGTAGACCAGGGGTCTCAAACACGCGGCACGCCCGCCTCATGCAGCCCACGACTCGATGGGACGTGCCCCGCAGGCAACAGGCTGCGAGTCCCGGTTCCCATGTCTTGAGCACTAGAAATGGCGTGCTCCATAGTAATCTCATCTCATCCATTCAGTCTCGCTGTAAAAGTAGCTCTAGTATTTTCACCTTTTTACATAGGTTATACGTATCTGCGTTTATTTTCCCTCTGTTTCGCTTTATTTTTACCTTCACAGCTTTTGTAATGTACAACAATGCCACTACTAGGCTGCAAGCGTGAACTCTTTGTTAAAGAATGCATCTCGTCTGCGCGAACTCTCGTTCAGCATGAGCAACTGACAAAGATAAAGATACGAGCTCGGGATTCTCGCCTTCAAAAAATATCACCATTAATATACCAGTATTTTTTTCTAAGTGTTGTAATAAAATCGTCAGAAAAGCAAGAACTGTTATATTAACTGATTACTTTTTAAAGACATGTTGAGCCAGATTAATTCTTAAGTCAAGTGAGCAACGGGAACGACAGCGTACTGGCTCTCTTGTTATGTTACAAATGCCAGCACGTTGACGGGGCAGTGTCATATTGATTATTGCTACCACATCAGTGGGAGGGGGGGGGGCACAAAGTAGTCATTCAAACAAATCAAATCTAAAGATGGCACTGGCAGAACTGAGTTTACAAACATCATAGAGCACGAGGTCTCTTCTCTTTTAAACATTTTGAACCCTTTCCTTCCTTTCCCTCCCCCGTTTAACGTTGGCCCTCGGGTTTTCCAGTAAGGACTATCTGGCCCCCCCACTCAAATGAGTTTGAGACCACTGTTGTAGGCGCTTTCAGGCAGCTGCGCATGGGCGCCGCCGTATCCGTCCTCCAGCCTTTGGTTTCCTCTTTTTCCGTTCGCTTCACTCCATCATACCAAAGCATGACAGGTAATTGCCACTTTAGGTGCTACGGTGTCTTTCTTCTCCCCAGCAGGCATTTGTTAAGGCTCGTCAACGCCCGCTTCAGTGGCTCGGTACCTCGGTGAGACAAGAGAAGGTCGGCCATGGCGGCTCAACTTGGCGCGTGTTTAAAGCGTCTATACTCCGTTCGCCCTTAAGCTGAGACTGGAAGCACCGCCTTCAGCGCGAGCTCGATGGCTTCCGCTGTGCTTTGGTTGCGCGTGCCTGAACGTTCACACTTGTGCAAGCAAGGACAGAAAGCTCGTGCTGAAGGCGGAGATTCTCGCCTCAGCTTAAGGATGAACGGAGTATTGGCGACGTGCGCGACCAAAAGCGTCGCTGTGGTCGGCCTTCCACGATTGGCCCAAAAGCTGACTATGACGACGGAAAGGGTATACCATCGACAGAAATAAGAGGAATGAAATAACTTTAATTTCGACGGTGTTGGCAGTGTTGCTTTGAGAGCGCAATGATTTCAGGCTTCCACCATGCTATATACAAACACCGTCGAACTTGCTGTTCGCAAGGTAATGACGTCACAAGGGGGAACCACAGGGGGGCGCCACCAAAACATCTCGCCGCTAATACACCATTATAATGTTTACAAATCCAAAGTCCAGCGTGCGATTTGCGCAGTCCAGCGCGCGCATGTTCGTTGTTTCACAAAATGAGCCAACCACGCGCCATACGCCCGAACTCTTGAAAATGGCATCGGTCAGAATAACTTTTTTAGAAAGGTCAACAGGAAGCTCCGACTGTAGGCGGGAGAACTAAAGCTCTTTCATGTCGTTGCCCCCCTGTCGGTGACTATCGGCGGCTTGCGCGAACTAGAACGGCGTTTCTCTAGCTATCATCATCATCGTTTTGTGACGTCGCGTCAGGGCAAACAGCGCAGATCTTGGATCCCTCGCCTCGTGAGCTCGGTGCATGCTGTTTGTGTAACACGCGGAAGAGCCTGTTTTACGTGCTCTATTTTTTTGGCGAAGTGATATTTGTAGTAGGACATTTTACCACAGCTTGAAAACGTGGCTCGCGTAGCCGTGCTAGCAAACACTTTTGGCACTGAGGTGTCGAAGCGTTGGGATGGTAGAAAAATCTGGATAACACTGGATATCACGACGAATGTCTTTTTATATTATGTTTCGCACAAAATGAAACTGAAAGAGGAATGTCTAATCAAATTGAAACCAGCAAGCAACGTTTCCTCAAAATAACTGGCAGAAAGAAGCGGTGCCTCGTTTCCGGAATCGTTTCAACTAAATCCCTGATTATTCACCCGGTTGACGCGAAACCTGACAGGCTCCCTCGATATCGAAGTCTTTCTAGTCTAGTAAGTCACCACTTTAGCGTTAAAGAATAAGGTATACATCTGCTACGAATTACTACCGTTTCTATGTTTAATTCTGTAGATAAAAAAAAATTGCGCATAAAGCGTGATGCGCTCCTCAGCGATCCATTTTTGAATTTGTAAAGAAAACTTAGTAAAAATTGTATTGAACTAATTAATCGATCGCCTGAAGTTGCCCGGCCAGAAACGGCTATTTAAGAAGTTATGAAAATGTCTGCTTGTTTATCGAGCTGAAGTTGCGATGTGACGTACTCCTTTGCCACGTATTCGATGCTGGAGGAACTTAGCGTCCTTTGCTGACGAGCATTTGCTCGTCGGCCATTGTCGACTCACACTTGGTTAGATGCGTCGGCATCTGCAAGCTCAATGTAGATAAACAAATGTGCGACGCTTTGTAATAACAGCTGCACGCGCGTGCACAGCTAAGATGACCGCATACCATATACTCCGGTGCAGGCAAAACGTTTTACTACAGGAACCTTCACAAATCTCCCCCTCCCCCCTCCCCCCCAAAAAAAAAAAAAAACAGAAGAAAAAAAACGTAATCAGCGCGACTCTGAACAGCCTTGACGCATGCCGCGCAATTTGAAATGTGAAGCTCCAGGATTATTTTTGAACATTTTAATGTTTTTATTATAAAGAGAAAATTCCACGCACTGTTTTTCGCTAGAAAGGTCTTTCGCAAAGTCAGAAGTTTCCAGGTGCTGACGTTTCGTTAATTGGAAAAGCGGAGTTGGTTTGTGAAGGAATGAAAGAACGTTTATTTTACTGGATTAACTTTGATCACATGCAGAGGTCTCTTTCGCGTCCGTTACGTGGTGTGCATCCGGTCGTTCTGCTCAGAGCGGTCTGTTGTTCCCCGGCAGGTGCTATGAGCAATGTGCAGCTCTGGGAATCGCGCTAGCGAAGCGTCACCTGTTCGATGATATACATTATACACCCTGCCGAGGCCGGACAAACAAGCAGACAAAAACAAGCTGGGCCAAGCTAACATGCCCCGGTGTAAAATTGATTTGTCCTCAAATCCCATCAACCCGTACTCCGCAAGTTAGGCGGGAGGTCTGCGTGTCCTTGGCTGTTGCTTACCTGGAGCGTCATCCTCGACGTTGATACGTTGACGACTGCTCCGTAGCTTTCTTTGTCGCCCGTTGGGACATCGGATGCGTTCTCGTCTTCACGTTTGTCGCTTTTATCTGCGGGACCGGAGATCGCTCCGCCGACGCAGCTAGGTCTCGGATAACTCCGGTGCTGCTGGGCGCTCGTGGATT